TTAACATTTACCCTTTTCAATCTTGGGTTAATGGGGCCAAATTCCTACCCCCCCCCCCCCTCCCTTCCCCCCCTCCCTCCCTTCCCCGCCTCCAATACCCGTAGCAACTCATTAGAGGATATATAACGGATGAGTTTGCATCCGATGCAAAGTCGAAATCCACATAGGAGATTAGGGACCGTTTATGGATTACTGTAAATGTAAGCACAAATAAGCAGTAATTGGTGGGATATACAGATCACTTAATTAATTAGCGATTATTCATAGTTATATACTAGATTTGTTTCTCTGTGGATCCCGTGGCACAAGGTCACAACTCACAACCTACTATGGACCATGTCACAAGGTCACAAACCTAGGAAAACTGTGAATAGTATGGACCATGAATTCTTGTATATTTCAGCAAAGCAATTCAATAAAATATGCTCTTGTTATTAGGGTTGTTTTCGTAGGATGGGATGAGATTTTCTTGTGGCCCATTCATTGGCTGTGCTGACGTGCATTGCAAACATGAAATTTATCTAACCAAGACAGGAAACCAAATGCACAGTTTTTACTTCAATTCTTATCTTAGATGGGCAATTGTAGGGCTCACACTTTCAAGATTGACAAGGCCTTAGATTTGTTGGTTGGTGAGTGCTGTGGTACCTACCTAATTAACCTATGATACAATATCTTTTAACATTGTACCCTTATATTTTTGGACTTGGGATTCTAACATATTTATTAAAATTCGAAAATTTCTCTTTTTGCACTCCGATAGAAGATTGACTACGATACTATTGCAGCATCTTTTAGCATAGTATGACATGCACTCCGACAGAAGATCCAGGGCCGCGGACGTCGTGCAGCTAGCTATACCTCAAGTTTCTGAATTCGAGAAGGAAGCTATTGAGCATCGCTAGGACCAATACCAATATCTGCACGAGAAATGCAAAAGTGGCGTATGAGTACAACCGATTCAATGTATTCCGTAAGTGTCGAGCCTAACTTCGATGAGGTAGTGACGAGGCTATGACAAGACACTTACGTAAATAAACTTGTACAATTATATATATAAAGCAACAATAATAACAGAGAATGATAGCTTACTAACTGGGAAGGGACATGCTAAAGAGGAAGATATAACAAATACAACATATATGAAATCACGAAGTAACCAAGTAAATCACCAAAATCGAGAAAAAACCAGTCAAACCAATGATATGAAAATGGCACGGCATCACCCTTCATGTTTTTACTCTCGTCCTCACCATGTAATAATATGAATATAATGGCATGGCATCAGCCTCCGTACTTTTACTTCCGTCCTCACCATGTAATAATAATATGAATAAAATGGCACGGCATCACCCTTCGTGCTTTTACTCTCTTCCTACCATGTAATAATGATAAATAAAAATGAAATGGCACGGCATCACCATTCGTGCTTTTACTCTCTTCCTCACCATGTAATAATGATAATGTTAATAAAATGGCACGGGATCACCCTTCGTGCTTTTACTCTCTTTCTCACCATGTAATAATGATAATATGAATCCGAATAATAAACAATGTAGGAGAATAAATTTAACTACAAATATGGTGCCATGATATCAAACTTCAACCTCCAAAAATATTCAACAACTTGGAAGTAAGCAATAAATACAAAATGAATAATCAAAGAAGTAATAATCTAACCTAACTATGGATATCATAATTAACGGAACAATATAATACAATGAAACAATTTTCACCCGCATGCTTTAACCCAATGACAACGCATAGGTACTCGTTACCTCACATATACGTTGTCACCACACATAAAACACATAGCAAATAGATCAACAAGTCCTAATCCCTCTAGCCAAGGTTAATCACGACACTTACCTCACTCCGGAACCAAATTAATTCCCAACCGCGACTTTTCCTCTAGAACTAGCCTCCAAACCAATCAAATCTAACCAAATATAGTTCAAATAATTCCAAAATAACCTTTAGAAACTCCAACGACCGGAAAAGATTCAATCTTAAATATTTTGAAAAAAAATCAACAAAAGTCAACCCGGGCCCGCTTGGTCAAACCCCGAGATTCGGACCAAAACCTGATTACCCATTCATCCCTGAGGCTGCTTATGTGATTAATTTCAAAATAAGGTCTAAATCTCAACTTCTCAAAATCACCAATTTCTACATAAATCCCAAATTTCTACCATAATAAAGCATAGATTAAAGGTTAAAATCAAAGGGTGTTCATGAAAATGTAAAGAAACAAGTTAAAATCTACTAACCTTGAAGATGAGATGAAAAAACTCTTCAAAATAGCCTCTAGGCCGAGCTCAACTTGAAAACAATAAAAAATAGGATGATTCCCGATTTTTAGAAGTTTTAAAGACTGGGTGTCGGGTGTTCGCTACGTTCGCGAGACATTTGACGCGATTGCGAAGCATTACGGCCTACTGGCCTTCGCATCCGCAAGAGGTTGCATGTGTTCGTGATAGCATGTCCTCCCTAGCCCTCGCATTCGCGAGCAACCCCTACCTCCCCCAGAGTCTCACTTAACCCATCACGTTCGCTAGTGAAGGGTCGCGTCCGCAAAGGGTAATCCCTCCGATGCTTCACGTTCGCGACCGTTTTTTTGCATTCGCGTAGAAGAAAATCACCCCAGGCCCAAGTTCCCCTTTCGCGGTCGCGAGAATGGCTTCGCGATCGCGAAGTGCACTGCACCAGACACCATCAGAATGACTGAAACTTGGAAATTCTAAGTCCAAAATGACCCGTAGCCTATCCGAAACTCACTCGAGCCGCTCAGGCTCCAAACCAAACATGCACACAAGTGTAACATAACATCATACAAACTCGCTCGCGCGATCAAAATACCAAAATAATACCTAGAACTATGAATCGGACATCAAAATGCATGAAATTTTCAAAGAAACTCAAGTACTTTCAAATTCACAACCGAGCGTTTGAATCCTATCAAATCAACTTCGTTGTCTACCAAATTTTGCAGACAAGTCTTAAATAGTAAAACTAACCTATTCCAAGTGCCAATACCAAAATCCGAACCCGGTAGCAATATTAAACCTTCAAATTACTAGTTTTCAACAAATCACGTCAAAACAAGTTAGGGATTTCTGCACTCAATTACGGGCATACTTCTAAGCCCAAAATCATGATACGGACCGACCAGAACTGTCAAAATATCGATCGGTGTCCGTTTACACAAAATATTGACAGTAATCAACTCAAGTCATTTTAAGGCTAAAATTCATATTTTCTTCAAATTTTCACACAAAAATTTTTCGGAATAAGACACGGACTGCACGCACAAATCGGGAAACGCCAAACGAAGCTAATCAAAGTCTCGGAACACAAAAATAAAGGCTAAAACTCAAAATGACATATCCGGTCATCCTAGAAGCTCTTTAATAGAATTACACTCTAACAAGCATTTTAAATCTGTTGTCCACAAGGTTGAGTAATCTTATCGACTATGCTTTGAAAATCATAAAATAGACTACTAACACTCCAACATGCTGGAATGATAAGGGTAAAATTGTAATACTAATTAATTCTCTCTTGATTTGATAAAGGTGGATAAGAACTGAAAATAATTATTTTTAGTAATCAAGTAAAATGAACGAAAGGAGTAACCTTTAGGCAAAAAGTTCTAATAATAATAGAATGACAGGTACCAATTAAAGATGTTGTCTTTACGTATTTAGGAAATGAGGGGAACCTATGGCCTAATGAATGGGTCCACACTAGCTTTCTCTCAATTAGGGGTGTTCATGGTTCGGTTTGGATTGGTTTTTCCTTAAAAAGAAACCAAACAAAGTAAGTCGGTTTTCAAATACTAGAACCAAACCAAACCAATTAAGTCGGTTTTTTCTCGATTCGGTTTATGTCGGGTTTTGTCAGCTTTTCGGTTTTTTCGGTTATTTGTCGGTTTTTTCTTAAATATAAGACACACACTATCAAACACATATTCCGGCGATCACATTTTCAACGTACACTAACAAATCAATTGCCCTTTGGGAAATCTATTATTTACCAAGATATATTGATGATAATTGAATCAAATAGTGATGAATAATTTAAGGATTCAATTAAAAACATATTATTTTTAACACGAAATGGATTCTTACACTTAACAAAAGAAAACTACCAATCAAATTAGAATGTAAAGGTAAAGAACTATACTAAAAGTGCAAACTATTAACATTTATCATTAAATTTTTGAAACTTTGTATAAAAATATACATATATATAGGTGTAATAATAAATTTGAAATATTTATTCCTATAGTCGGTTTGGTTCGATTTTTTTCTGATTAAAACCAAAACCAAACCAAATTCGATCGGTTTTTAAAATTCAAAACCAAAACCAAACCAAACCAAAAAGTATCGGTTTTTTTGGTCGGTTTAGTTTGGTTTTCGGTTTGGTTCGGTTTTCGGGTTTTTATGAACACCCCTACTCTCAATAAATGAATTTTTGTTAACCCAAAAAAAAAAAAAAAAAAGAGGTCCCAAATCCCGTCCTTATACTCTCAACCAACAAAACTAGCTTCTCTCTTTCTCTGTCACATTGTGAAAGCAGTAATGTGTCTTGTCAAGTTCTGTCTCTTAGTCTACTCATACATTTAAAGATGTTTTTTCGTCAAGAAGCCAAAATCCAAGCATGAATATAATGCCTGTTATTATTGACACCTGAAATAAATGTAAATTCTCTTCATACTCGCACATGGAGATGGCTTTAGGAGCAGTCTTCAGAATTATTATGAAAAAGCTCTTCAATCATCGCCGGTTAAACATCAAATACATCATTTTGTTGAATGTATAGAGTGATGAGGAGGCTGATAAGCAAACTCAATCATTGCTCCGTCTTCCTTGCACTAAGCTCTTCAGTAAGTCTTCCAGTGATAAGTCTGACCGTCCTAAGCGATAAGCCTACTATATCTCAGTTTAGTGCCTAATTTCTTCCATACTGCGCACTTCTATTAGTTGCCTCCTGGAAATATGAAAAGCATGGAGTATTCTGAGAGATCCTTTGATTCTCTTAGTGAATCAATTCATTCTCTCATGGGAATGAAGACAGACCTAACTTGTAATTGGGTGGATTCAGTCCGTGGCATAATCAAGACCCTGCAGCCACAGCCATCTGGTTGTGTGAGAGATGATAAAGAAGAAGAAAGAAAAGCAGAGAAACAGGAAGTACTAGATGGTAACAAGACATGCGAAAATTGTAGCAATAATGACGAACCAAACGCTGCCATTTCAAAGATTAAAGGTAAGTTCTGCTGAGGAGTGTGATTATCTTATCTTTTAGTGGTCAGAGAGAGCACACTTTCAATACTCATGTGTCGGTGTGATTTGTTTTCTTAATAGTTCAAACACATACCTTGAATCCATAGACCTCTTGATTTATGTGACACTCTGTTAAAATATGTGATCATATCATTTAAAAATTTAAACTGTAGGGAGAATACACTTCTAATTACTTAATTATAAGTATGTCTCAACAAATTCATGTATGGTTACAATTATAGTTCTATAACAACAGATGTTTTCTGTAAAATTTAAATCCTTCTCTGATGTATTATTTTAATTTTCTGCATATATCACATCTCAGATGAACTTGCAGTCTTAGATGCTTGCATTAAGAAACTGAACATTCAGAGGAGACAAGTTCTCAATGAGCTCCTGGACTTGAAAGGTATACATCAATTTTTACATGTCAATGATCACGTACTTCCCTCCATTAATGCTTCGTACAGCAGTTTTATTAGATAAATTAAAAATTATATTGTCAAATATATTAATTAAATCTTTATTATGAAACATTACACCTGACAGGGAATATTCGTGTATTTTGTCGGATAAGACCCATTAGCATTGCCACTAAACAGCCAGTTGCAGCTTTGGGATCAAATGAAGTGCTCATAAATTTGCCAGACCATAAGTCCAAAATATATAGCTTTGACAAGGTTTTCCATCCTTCTTCCTCACAAGGTACTCTGTGTCTTTCTTCTTATTTATATGTATTTATTTATTTATGTAATTATTTAGTCCAATTACATACTTAAATAGAAAGTAAGGAAGTCTGTCTAATCTGTAGTGATAAGCAAACCAATAAATAGGATCAAATTTTGATACTAGGAACTAAACTGTGACCTCTTCCATTTTTTAGGTTGGGTAGTTGACCAAAGGGCTTGGGGAGATTTGCACGAAAGTGATACTTTCACGTTGTAATTAACATTTGTCCATGGTTTAACCATTTGTGCAGAACTGACCTGTTTATATCTTTAATAAAATAAAGTTAGACTATAATACCTCCACCTTAAAGTAGTCAACATTGTGTTGCAAATAAACAGTACATTGTTCTTTGATATGCCATTTTAAATTCCATCCAACCTATATAATCTAATCCCAAATGATCTTAAATTTAAAAAAGTAACCTAACCCCAACAAGGGAGAAATAGGAAAATAACCACTTTTAGCCCCTGCTATTGAGTTTAACCGATACTTCAAAAATTTGTTACTCCCTTTATTTCAAATTAGATGAGATACTTTCCTTTTTAATCTGTTCCAAAATAAATGATACATTTCTAAAATTGAAAATAATTCAACTTTGAATTCTTCATTTTACCTTTAATGAAAAGCTTTTGTAACCAGTCAAATGTCATGATCCCACAAAGCTTTTACCGTCTTAAGCTTTATTGACCACAAGTTTTAAAAGTCTTCTTTTTTCTAAACTCCGTGTCGAGTCAAACTACATCATCTAAATTGAAACGAAGGGAGTAGTGTTTATTCACTTCTTTCACACGAGTTTGGACTCCTACCTAAGATACGGAAGAACTCCAAGAATGAATACTCTTTCAAAGATTTTTCAACTGAAACTTTGGCACATTATGTTGGAATTCGAAAATTCCCTACAGGTGAAACTGCGATACTGTGTGCTGGAGTTTCACTTAGAAGATGCAAATAAAGCCCATCAATAGAGAAGGCAGCGCCTTTGATATGATATCACCTTCTTCTACATTATTTATTGAAATAAATTATACATATATGATCAAATGCATATTTTGGTAAGAAATGATTAGATCTCAAAATTCCTAATTCAAATTGAAATGTAAAATGATCCTAGAAATAAGATTTTCATTTTCTTACGATGTTTCAGTAAAAGAGGGAGTCATAATTAGGACCTTTTTCAAAGAAATGATCTGACAACCCTTATGATTGGTTGCTCCTAAACATAGTTGTCATGATTCGCAGTGAAATCCCCAATAAACAAGAAAAACAGATTCACCTGTTCCAGACTGGCTGTCTCACAAACACAAACGGGGGAAACATTAGTAAAGAGTGGAACAGAGGCTCACACTGGTATTTCAGAAGCTTGAGGTTGAAAATATTAAAGTGAACATCAATAGTTCCTAACTAGTCACTTAGTATAAGAAAGCTCTGCTCTATGAAACCACTAGCAGAAGTTTTTCCTCTACAATCAAATAACTTGAGGAAGATACTCCTCATGAATTATGGTTAAATTTGATGATGTAGAGAAGCTTTTAGGAGATGCATGTACCATTGAAGTAGAATAGGTACACCTGGTCGAGGGCATAAAGGACCAAAATCCATCAATTTTGAGAAGTCATCTTTAAAAATGATCGGACACCTGAAACCCTCAGATGCTAAAGCACATTTCAACGAGAATCCACTTAGCCATGTAATCCTGGCAAAGAAGTAATCCTAACTTTCACCTCTATGAACACTCTTAAGAAACTAAGGGAACAACTTTGATCACATCTTTACCATTTGCAATATGAAAGCTTCACCAATAAAGGGGGTCCCGTGGACAACATTATTTAGGATCCAAATCCACAAACATATTGTTCTTCATAGTGGATTGTTAGTCCGTCCATTAAATTTTAATTAAGAGGGATTGAGTAAAATCCATTGTGTACATCAACCCTCAATCATGTACAATTTTTCTGATAGGGAGATGAAATGGAGATAGTTTCAGACACCAAAAATCCATTTCCTACTCAAATGCATATTTCGTAGGAAATGTTATGGCCTAAATCATATTTCACGTGTATTCTCAAGAAGAAGCCATACCCTTATGTTACTTTAACCCTCATTGGTTAGAATCCAGTATTAGGCAGATATTTGACCTTATCCATAAGATAATGATGTATTCGGATAATAAGTCCTGTTTAGAGTCAAGATGTAGATTCAAGAATTGTCTCCCACAACAAATAGGAGAATTGAACTTTAGTCCTATTGGATTCAAAAAATTAACTTAGTTAGTAAGCTATTCCTCACTTCTATTTTTAAAAGAACGAAGAAATATCATTTTCATTTTCATGCTCTAACCCAGGAACATAGACTACATTTCTTGATTTTCTTCAAAGCGCAAATTTTAAGAACAAAGAAACTTTGAAGAGATTGAATTTAACACAAAATCAGATTTAATAACAATATGAAACAAAAAAAAGGGAATTGATTGATAACTTCTCTGGTTCAATGACTAACTGGAGAAATACAAACCTGATTGCTTCTTTGCTACGGCAGGTGAGGTCTTTTCAGAAATTGAACCAATAATCAAGTCTGCTCTGGATGGCTATAACGCATGCATATTTGCTTATGGGCAGACGGGCACAGGGAAAACATTCACAATGGTATGTTCAACTACCTATGCTTCGATTGACTTCTGATTTAGCAAGCAAAGCAGATCATTTCAGCCAGTATGAAAAAGCATTCTGCCATAAAATGGCACTCATGATATACAAGAATTATTGCATGCTCATCATTCGGAGTGCAGTTTATCTGCTAGAATTGTATTAAACACCGGGGCCATTTGGTTTGAAGTATAAGAAAAGTTAATCTCCACATAAAATTATATAAGTATGAAGTATAAGAAAAAGTAATCTCCACATAAAATTATGTATAACTTCTACTGTGTTTGTTTCTCTGTATAAACTCCTACATAACTAATACAATCTCTGTATGACTAATACAGTGTTTGGTTTCAATAGTGAACTTTGCAAAGCTATGTGGAGCTTAATCTCGGAAACCAAATGTCGTATTAGAAACTATGATATAACTTATACGGGAATCTATATATTAATTTATATAGAGATAGAAGGTGGGATTAGAATACATATATAAAAGTATCCGAAAACAAAAATACCCTTATAAACTAGGCAATCAGCAATCCCTATGTCACAAGCTATGTACAATTATTCAACGTATAGCAATCCCTGCACTGTTAATCATCAGATAAATGTCTAAATTATTTTCCAAACATAAACAATCCATGCATTATAACTCTGCATAACTAAACTGTACACGGAACAACCCCTTAGGCTTTTACTCTTATACGGAACAACCCCTTAGGATTTTACTCAACTTCTAGCACAAAGTTAAATGAGAACCGGAGAGGAAAATTAACAAGTGATATCTAGAGAGAGTCCAGTATAAAATTTCGGAAAGCATATTGTTGCATTTGCTAAGTATGATGATTTTGGTAACTATACCTGCCAGGAAGGCACGGAGGAGTTTCCAGGGGTTGTGCCCCGTGCGATTGAGGCGCTCTTTAAGCATGCGGCAGACAGTAACCATGCATTCCTCTTCAGCTTCAGTATGCTGGAAATATACATGGGATATCTAAAAGATCTCCTCATTCCTCATAGTCAGACAACAAAGTCAATGTTCCCTTTACCACCATGGTAAGTCACAGAACTAACCTGGTAGTCTGCTGTAAGGTTGCACAGCTTGCATGCTTTTCTGATTGAACTATCTATTTTGATGGATCTGCTAGACCTGGTCCTGTTCAGCAAGTAATGATACAATAAGAACTCCAGAATGATCTTATGCTTATTTGTTGATAACTTGAATGAATCCACATGCATAGACATCTTAGGAAATGTTTCAGTTACCTAATCTGCTAATATTAAAACATGAAGTTAAGCCATACAGAATGGCAGGTTTTCATAAATGCTCACTAAAAATGTTCCAGACCATGTTCATATATCGAAACCTCAGATGATCAGATACACATTTACTATGAACGATCAGGTTAATTGATGATCAATACTTAGATTTTCATCCACTTCCTACTTTCTGGGAGAGGTTAGAGCTTTCTCATTTAAAGCAAGTTTTCTACATGCAGTCTCTCAATTCAAACACATCCCAATGGAGAGATCGAGATTGAAAACCTTGTGACCATCCAAGTAAATGACTTCAACCAAGCCATGAGACTGTACAAGTTAGGATGTGGTTTCAGATCCACTGCTTCCACAAATTCCAACCGAACATCAAGCAGATCTCACTGGTAAATCAATTCATTTTGATACAAAAATGTTAAGTAGAAAGGTATTTAATTCGTTTTAAGGCCAGCTAAATGACTGATAAAATGAACCTGATAAAGATATGTCTATGTGGCTATCTTGAATTTGCTCCAGGTGTTGAAGGATAACTCTAAATAATCTAGATTGCAAATCTCAAAGGTTTCTAAACTCTTAATAGATTCTTAACTTCTTGAACTTTGTCAGCACCTTGGTCTTAGATTAGCCTTTTGTTGTATTAGAGCTGACTCAATTTTTTTGTTGTATTATCTTTTGTACTACTGCATCTTCTTGATGCCATCAATGAACAAATTACATCAATTAAAAAAAATCTAAATAGATTTTCTGTCCGCTCCATACAGCATGATTCGCATATCAGTTTCCAGTTTAAGTGCCAGCGAACGAAGAAGGTTAACAAACAAACTGTGGATGATCGACCTTGGAGGAAGTGAACGTGTCCTAAAAACAAAAGCACTGGGGAGAAGATTTGAAGAAGGAAAAGCAATTAATCTTTCCCTTTCTTCCCTCGGAGATGTCATCCACGCCCTTCAAAGTAAAAGGCGCCACATTCCTTACAGGTAAGTCAACAAACATGGTATTAGATACCAATTCCTGACTCAAGGAATCAATTGAATGAGAATCCAAGCTGATAGATTCGGTAATAGCTGAAGGTGGCGCTTAATCATAGAAGTTTGATCATTAACTCAAAACTAATCCTGATCCAAGTGTTTACTGTTTACAGGAATAGCAAGCTGACACAAGTTCTTAAAGATTCCCTAGGTAAGTATGCGTCTTAACTGAATGTTCATTTGACAGACTGCTTGACTTATGCTAAGAGCCCTAAGTATTTTGCATGTTGAATATCATGTGATCTGCAAATTGGCATTATAGATGAAACTGAAATGGATGTACACTACCTTACACACTGGTTTCTTCAAGTAGCGGATCTTGAAGGTTGAATATAAAATTCTCGTTTGAGCTCTTCATCAGCAAAAACAGAACAAGAATTACTGTGCTGCATATCTGGTTATGCTTATAGTAGCAACTTAGGATGAAATAACCCAAAAAACACTCTAATGGTAAACAGAGGGAGAGGTTAATAAGTAATAAGCAGGTGCCAATGGCCTCTCCAGCAAGTCCTGATGCAAATTTTCAGTGGTTGCTACTATAAAGGCTGCATGGTTTGTCAGTTAGGCTGTTAAAACAAGTGAGGGTAAAACTTTTCTGTTATGGTAATGTTAAATGCTAAAATTCTAGTGATATACCTACTAATGTTCATGCATCAATAGGAGATTTGGGTGATGGAGGAGGAATCAACTATTGATCGATTGAGGGCTCATCACATTAATAGGTCCAAACTCATATGTTTAGCCATGAACTGCTCCCAGACAATGCATATAAGTCAGGGGGCCCTCTGCCAAAGCACTTTCTCCTTTGTTAACAATAATTAGATGAATAAGAAATGGAACATGGATAGATAACTGTTCCTGACCAAAATAAATAGATATATAAATAAAAATAACCATTATGCTTTGGTAAAGCATTCGTATATTGTCCACAGCTTACCTACATTCTGTGAACTTTGATAGAGTAGGTGGTACACTAAAGTGAAGGAACGCTAAGAATTCAAATGAGGTGTGTTAGATTATGTTATTCAAGGAGCGGGATGTAACTAGATTTGCATTATTAAGCTCTTTAATGAATGTCAAACTGAAACAGGAGACCTACTTTAATTCAACCCCAAAAATTTCCTGCATTCATGGACTAAAACAAGAACGACATCATGTAGTCTCCTCTGAAGTAAAGCACATTGAAGAGTATGCAAATGTTCACAATTGACTTCTTACAAGTATACAGTCACATAGGAAGCATGAGGAAGACTTACTTTATGGGAGTTGTTTAATCAATCTACCGGCCTTTCTTGTGGACATCATTCTCATAAATGGTGAGTCAGACACATCTATTCAAAATCTGCATAGCTAAACCATTTGAGTGTCCAGTTATAAATTTTATTGTCTTAAACTGCAAAAGGAAAAAGGGTAAGTGGAGGCTTTCATTCTGAATAGGTGAGGTAAACACTACAAGGAAAAGCAGATTCCAGAAACAGAGAGAGAGAGAGAGAGAGAGAGAGAGAGAGAGAGAGAGAGAGAGAGAGAGAGAGAGAACTAGATGGCTGAGAATGAATTAGAAATGAAACAAAGAAGAAGTGATAACTGATATTTTCAGTGATATGCGATTTTGCCAGCTGTTTTAGACATTTAGTTAGCTTAAAGAATTTCACAATGTGGATTAAAACAATAGGGTTAAGCAAAGGCTTGGAATGTGACACCACTCCTCACCTACATAAACAAATAAATCAATAAATCTGTAAACCACACCTTTTGCTACAGTCAAATCAAGCTGTAAGTACAGCTTGTAGGATGGAAAGGGAGTAAGGAAACTTAAGGGAAAGCCTTTTATCAGGATACTCAACTTCCAATATTTGAGGATGAAGGGATTGAGATGCTTGTACATACATATTACATATGTTCTTGTTAGTCTTCTATTTCATATCAGAAGCAGCAACCAATAGCATGAACCTAATAAGGGAGACCTCTGGACCAGCACCAATCAGTGTTAAAGCACCATTGGAAGATGTATAACATGGGGAAACAAAACATCCCAATTTCTTTGAAGTTCCTGGTTGTTATAGTAACTTGAACTGAATAAGTTTTTAGAAGATTTTTCCTGTTGAATATTTTTCATACTTATTGGAACTGTCAACAAATACTTTCCATACCAGCATTTAGAAGTTAATCTTGTTCACCACATTCTCGTGGAAGGTTTCATTTAATTGCCAAACATGCAAAATCTAGACAACTGCAGATTTCACATTTTTTTCACTCCTTTTTATGATATATATCACACCAATTATGCCAGAACGTAATGTGTTGTTTTAATATCCAGGTGATGATTCGAAAACGCTAATGCTTGTTCATGTCAGTCCCCGAGAAGAAGATTTGTGCGAGACATTGTGTACATTAAATTTTGCAACACGAGTTAAAAGGATTCAACTAAGAAATGAAGAATCATCAGTAAGTCACTGAAACAATCAACTGAGCCTAATATTGGAATCTGTGCAACTTCTTCACATTATTACTACATACATGATACAACATATCTCTTTTCATTTCCTGTCATGTAATTAATTGTTAATGACTAGTTCAAAATATCGTCCCGACTGACAAAAAACAATGGAAATGTTGAAACGGTGAACATCTGCTTCGACACAAAATATACTTGCTGAAATCACAACCACAAACAACCTTATTAGGAATGCGAAATCTAGGCCAATGATGACCCATCATTAATGGCATCAATATAAATAAGATTGTTTACTGATTTAAATTTCAAACACGAAAGAGCATAGACCAACATCTTCATAATCGATATGCTTACTGTCAGTACATTTGGCTCCACCTGGTCTAATACTTTCTTTTTATAAACGTGGTGTCCTAGACAGCTTGCGCGCACCTCAACTAATTCAACCAGGTACCTGCTATCTCCCACTAGCACAGGTACCAAGTAACTCTATCCATCAAGGCTTGGACAGATAGGAAGAAATCACCTAATTAATACTTAAACTGCAGGAGAGGAGAGATGCTTATTTGCTTATAATATGTGTTCAATATACCCCCATTTATCTGGGCTAAGTTCTCTTCTATCCTAAGATCAATGGAACTTTTAGGTAAAGTGTAATGACAAATTTGACAGGAATGGAACAGATTGCTAGGTACAGATGTTAGGGGGTAATATTGGTTGAGATGAGCAATACCAAGTTATAGTTGAACTATAAGCACTTTCACTTGGCATTATAAGAAAGTAAAGTTGCAGAGTCACTAATAGCTTGAGCTTTTAGATCGGATGGACCTGCATTTTTCAAAAGTGTTGCATAAACATTAGTGGAAAAGGCACTAGGCCTGTAAATATTCCTTGCAAGTTAAGTTATTAAGCCAAAGCGTTTTGCAGAGAAACAGGGAGACAATGGTGAATGAAAAAAGAAGCTAAGTAGAGTTCAGAACAAAACTAGTGATCATTTAACAACTTCTCAATAAAGTTAGTGATTATATAATCTCAGTTAAAGAAATTTTGATGTTTTTTTGATGTATTACTACAATAATGTTTGATGCTTCAAGAAGCACGCTCATGACATGAGCGCAAGAGGAATTTCCTGATTTACCAAGTATAATCTTTATACATGACATGCCATGATGAAGGCATAAGTTAGGCCTGTTTGTCCAAAAGATAAAAATTTGGCTTTCTTACCTCCTGCTCTCCCATCAGTGCTTCTCCATATTTATAAGCAAATGTGACATTTGGAATTACAGGAAGTGAAGGAAGAAAAGGAACTTGCAATAAATAATCTGCTGCAGAAGATGAAGCAAATTGAGAACAACCGCAAAGATGTAACACAAGAAATCAAAAAGCTGAATGAGAAACTAGGAAAGCTTACAGTGATATCAACCAATTCAACTGAACTAGCGGATCTCTCAGATGTATGCATTGAGGGGCTAGGCTCTAACATGAGATTTCTAAAAGATAGTGTCACAGTTAACCATTTAGCAGACTTCCCCAGATTTATGAGGCCTACTGTTTGTAGCCGAAGTAAATCAGGAAATGCTGGAGTAGAAAACCAAGTCTTAAAGAGTAGAGCATTGCTTCCTCCTAGAAAAGGAAAAAGATCCTTCCACTGTGCCAAGCCTGTGGCTTTTCCCGTAGAAGAAACATCAGAATGTTATTCAGAGAGCAGTATTTCCAGAACTAGCTGCCTTGTTGGTCCAAATACGAAATTCAGTGCAGATAATGAGACAGAATTCAGCCATGACACATCTGATAGTGACATAAAGGTGGCAGTTTTTACGAAACACAATTTATCAGAAAGAGATTCAAAGCATAAAATGTTTAATCTGAGACCCAGCAGGGAGAACCATGCAAATACAATGGAAAAAGTATCAACCCAAAACCACTCAAAGGTTGATAATTGGCTTCAACTTCACAAGTATGAATCAAATACAAATAGGTGCACTCATAAGAACAAAAGAATTCTTGCGATACCAATTCCAGAGATGAAAGCAAGGGCCAGAGGCAGGATGGCACATGATTTACATGATGAACAGGTCCCAGGCAAGGGTTTGAGAAAAAGAATCGCGAACCATCAAGATGCAAAATCAGCTAATATGGAGAATCATATGGATTTGAGCTCCGAGTTAGAAGCAGAAGCTAATGTGTCTCATGCAATTTCGAAGCGCTTTATCGATTATGAGAAGTCATATCCTGCACCTCCAGCCTGCAATATTGATGAAATAACCATGAATGGAACACAAGGTCGAGTATTTGATTCAACAACTGAGGTCAGTGAATGCAGCAATTTTAGTGCACCTGACGATTTTAATGATCTTAAACTGATTATGCCAGACATTGCATATCAAGAAAGATATAATATGTCAGCATCTACGGTCAACAGCCATAGCATAGGCCTGATAGAGAGTCCCTCTAGTTCAAAGAAGAAACCAAATTATGAACAAATGCTCAAAATGGAAGAAGAAAGTAACTTCGAGAATATGCATGTCTCAGGATGCTTTACAGGAGGAATAAAGCCCTGCCACTATGGGCTCAGATCTCCTAGTGCTTTGTCCATTTGCAAAGCAAATCAAATAGATTATTACCTTGATCCCAAATTACTTAACAATACCAGAACCAGAGGTAAGACTTTGAGATCCCATCTTTACTTGTTCATCCAGTTAGTATAAGTTTTTTTGCAATAAACAAGAGGACGGAGACCATTGCCTTCTTGTGTTTTTATCTTCAGCGTAAACTAAGTTTATGTTCATTCTTATGATTTTCTTCTTTGTTTTTCTTTTTGTCTTATGATTTTCTTAAATTGCATCTGCAACAGGATTCCTTAATCTTTTGAAACCAAAAGTACAAATCTTATTTAGCAGCATTCTTGTTGCATTGGGATTTGCAAGCCTAGGTCTTGGGCATGACTTCTTCTATGCTCTGGCTCTCTAATCAACCTGCTTATCACATGCCAAGACCTGATGCACGTTTGAGTTCGCCTTACGAAAACTCGGCGATGTAGTTAATGAAGAGACAGAGAGATGCCCAACGGCCGCTAGGCAACTTTGAGGCTACATTCGTGCAACACTGGCACTCATAGATTTCTCAGTTGTAAAAAAGTAAGAAAATAAAAAAGAGATGCCCATTGGCTGCGAGGCAACTGTGAGGTTAGAATCTCATTCCCCAACTCAAACTGTTGATAATGCAGGAATTACATATGGAAGGGAACAAGGCATTAACATGTCTTTATGTGTGGTGGTTCTTTTAAGTGCCATCTCAATTCTCATGATTCTTCAAATCAGGGTGAAAGGTCAATATGTACATGTGCCAAAAATTTGATCCCAAGATGTTTAATAGTATATTCAACTCTTTGGAACACCTAGATATTGTCCAAGATGCACCTTACTAGTTTGTATTAGTATTCTTAAGTATCAAATACACTAAAGAAAAGGAAAGGTCCAAGTTTGCCCCTGAACTATTGACTTTTGTTCAATTATATAATCTATTAGAAGTTGGCAACAAAAACCCCTTGTCGTTACCCAATACGCCCTTATTCTGTAACATAGCTCTAACTGTCCAATTTGATCTATGCTGGAGCTGTATTATTGCCACATGCGAGGAGGTGTGGAAAACAATACACGTTGACCCATCAATGCTGTCTCACATGAAATTTCACCTAAATCCTGAGACATGTCTAGCCTGAGGTAGACAAAATCTTCTATTAACCCTTTAATATGCAATCAGAAACAAGCTAAGTGCACCCAACTAGCTAATCCATACTAGAGCTTCACGAAACTAAGGTAAACTATTTTGTTTATAAGTACGAAATTAAGGTAAACTCTAAAGCAGTAATTAACATATATCAGCAGGATGTGTGCATCCAAAAGAAAACGAAAAACTTTAAGCAAAATTGACAAGAATTGCAGAGATTAAGAGACATATCAAGGACTGCATCTAGTTTCTTCCAACTGATTCAACGAGAAGTGCCAATGACTTGTTCCTGACCATATCTAAAAACTGAAAAGGTTGAAAATGGGAAGCTCACAAGCATTAGGCTTCCAACTCCAATTCAAGCAGTCAATATCAGGTCTTTTGTGCTTCAAACAATTTTGGTGCTCGTGGACCGCAAACAGGTCGTGTTGGTGCATGGAGCATCAAGATTTTGAACCCATTATCCAATGAAGATATCACATGTCTCAGGCTCTTTAATTTTTGTCTTCTGCTCCTTAGCATAGTATGTAGGTCATAATTCAGATGGATGGGTTACCAAATCTGCAGAGTACCAATTAAAAGGTGGTAAAGAGGGATAAGAACCAGAATGATTAAAATGCTAAAAGTATGAATATTCTTTGGGTTCTTTGAGCTGTATTAGAGAATTTAATAAAAGAAAGCTCCATTCGTGGGAGAATCTTCAGTGGAGGATTGGAAGCGAAAGCAGAGATGGGAGAAAAGTCATTATTCACTCTCAAAAATTCAACAACCAGCTGAAACATAATTCAAAAAGAAAGCTAATTTGTTATCCTTTAAGCATGATATATCACTAGCTTAGTGACTCCGCTAACTTGGTGAATCGGGTACCAGTCACCAACACTAGATTCGAAGTGGGGGTTGGAACGGAACAAGAAAGAATAGTGGTACTAATTACATTTACATAATACATTTTGTTCTATTTAATGTCAAGTGCTATGAAGATCTTACTGTGTTCTTCTGAAGTTCTACTTCACATTTAGGTACACTTAAAGCTGCTGCACATCAGTTGATATTCTGAAGCTAATGGTCCTTGAAACAGTCTGTCTAGTTAATACAAAATTCTACCCCTTGTCTTATAAGTGATCCTCGTATAGGTTATCAGCATCAAGCAGCTCTTCATAGCCGCAATCTTCATGCAGTACCATCTTGGATACCTTGTTCAACTGTGATAGAATTCTGTATATCCTCTCGCACTGAAAATGTGATCTGTCTCCTGAATAGAAGTAATAAACTCTGTTTTTCACCTTGATGAAGCTACCGCCTGGCAACTTTTTGATACCTGTGTCCCTCATGATCTTTCTTGCTACCCTAGCTTCACTCCACCTACCAAGAGCAGCATATGTATTGGACACAAGGGAATAATTCCCACTGTTATGTGGTTCCACTTCAGCTAGATGCTGCAGAGCTTTCTCCCCAAGTTCAACATGACGTTGCTTCCTGGCTGCAGCAAGAAGTGATCCCCAGATCGCTGCATTTGCTTCAAAGGGCATCGTTTTAATTACGTTTGCAGCCTCATCGAGGTAACCAGCACGCCCTAAAAGATCGACCATGCAACCATAGTGTCTGATGTCAGGAATAATACCATATTTTTCTTCCATTATCTTAAAATACAATCTGCCCTCCTCCACAAGACCTGCATGGCTACATGCAGATAGTACTGCTATTAAGGTGATACTGTTCGGCCTAATTCCAACCATTTCCATTCGAGAAAACATATTAAGCGCTTCTTTTCCATACCCATTGACAGCCAATGCAGAAATCATTGTTGACCAAGAAACAATACTCCTTGTTTCCATGCTCTCAAACAATTCTACTGCCTTCTTCACATTCCCCGACTTTGCATACATATCAATAAGGGAATTGTTAAGCGGCACAGTTCTGCGTAACCTGTGTTTTATAATATAACTATGCATCTGTTCGCCCAACTCAAGCTCACCCAAGTGGGCACAAGCAGAAAGCACAGCTAGCATTGTTACCTCATCAGGCTTGACACCAACTTCTGCACTTGTCATTTCACGGAAAACACCAATAGCTTGAGAAAACTGATTCCCCCGAGCATACCCCGCAATTATGGTAGTCCAAGAAACAACATTCTTCTCTCGCATATTATCAAACAAGTACTTCGCAGTATCCATATCACGAGCCTTAACATAACCCGTTATAATGGCGTTCCACAACCCCACATCTCTGTCGCATATTTCATCAAACACCTTACGTGCATCCGAGACGCACCCAAAAGCAGAATACATCCGTACAACCGCGCTTGCCACGTGTATGTCATTATTCAATCCGGTTATAATAGCCTCACAGTGTATTTGACTGCCGGTGCTAAGACAAGTTACAGCATTCAACACAAAAGGGATAGAGTAAGTATCATGATATAAGCCAATGGCTCGAGCTTGTTTATAAAGGAGAATTGCATCTTTTAATAAATATTGTTGTTTAGAGAAAACACTGATCATAGTGTTGTAAAGATAAATGTTTGGGTTGGGGTTCGAAGTGAAAACTGAACAAGCATAATTGACAAAGCCCAGGGAGGAACATGTATGTAAGAATTGGCTTAAAAGGAAGTTGTCTTGATCTAAAGCACGATGTAGCATGAAGCCATGGGTTTGATAAATGTGATTTTTGTGTGAACATTTTTTGAGCAAAGCTAAAAGTGAGTCTTCTATGTCGAATGGGGATGTTTGGAGAGGGGAGTTGTGGTAGTTGCAATGGAAGTTATTGGAGTTGGGCTTCAGTAGAGGGTGAAGAATTTTAGAGGATGCTCGGTAAAATGAGCACAGCATTTGCTTGTTTGGTTTAGCGCCTTCACTCCATTTCTTGCAATTTTGTGCCAAAGTTCAAATAATTAAAGCCACAAGCACATACGGGGGAAATTGTGACTTGTTTAGGTGCATGAATGGACGTATCCCGAGACTAGTAGGTGCGGAAAAGGACACTTCGAGTGAGGGGATTGATCTAAGTCAATGATAATTGCACTTAATTAGTTGACTTGGGGTTAGATTATAATATCAAAAACTTAGAATAGACTGTGTAAAAGTTCTGCCTGTTTTTTGTGACCGTTAGTTGTAGATTATGTTTCGATGATTTTTTTTATTGGTAAATCTGTCGCTTGTTTTGGGATAGGACTTGCGTGGTGTCCCCTAGATGATAGTGGCTTTTGGTGGATGATGATAGGGTAAGGTCTTGTCCTCGAGGGAGGGGGGGTTCATTGCGAGGGAGGGAGTGGAGGGGGCAAGGGGGTAAGAGGGATAAGGAAGCCATCAGGCTGAGAGTTGGGTCTTAGAACATAGGAACATGATTGGGAAGTCTATAGAGTTAGCGAATATTCTCCGGAAGAGGAAGATTAATATAGTTTGTGTCTTGGAACATAGGAACTTTGACTGGGAAATCTATAGAGTTAGCGAAGATTCTCCGGAAGAGGAAGATTAACATAGTTTGTGTCTAGGAGACTAGATGGGTAGGAGCTAAGGTACGGGATGTGGACGAGCTTAAACTATGGTATTTTGGGAGTGGGGGAGGGGAGAGGAACGGGTTAGGTATTGTGGTTAATAAGGACCTCTGGGTATTAGTGGTGGAGGTTAGGAGAGTGAATGATAGGCTGATGACTATTAAGCTAGTTGTTGGTGGATTTATTTTGAATATAATCAGTGCGTACGCATCTAGGAGGATTTGGATGAGATGGTGCGCGGGATACAACACACTGAGAAGCTTTTCATTGGAGGAGATTTCAACGGCCACATTGGAGCAACGTCTATGGGTTATGATAATGTGCATAGTGGCTTCGGTTTTGGAGGTAGAAACAGATGAAGAACTTCATTGATGGATTTTGCTAGAGCATTTGAATTGGTGATAGAGAACTTGAATTTTTCGAAGAAGGTAGAACACTTGGTTACCTTCCGGAGCTCAATGGCCAGGACCTAGATTGATTATCTACTCTATTGAAAATCCGATAAAGGTCACGGATTGCAAGATCGTCTCGAGTGAGAACCTCACGACCCTTCATAGGCTCCTGGTCATGGACCTTAAGATCACGAGGAAGAGGAGAAAGAGGGTGGCGTATGGCCAACCTAAAATCAAGTAGGGAGCCTTGACTAAAGACAAAGCGTAAGAGTTGGGGGTTAAGATGTTGACTATCGGCAATCAGTCCTTTTTTGTTTGCCCTGGAGATGGACGTACTGACGTGCCACATCCAAGGAGAGGTACCATGATGCATGTTATTTGAAGACAACATTGTAATGATTGACGAGACGCGAGGAGGTATTAATTTTATACACAACTGAGACTGATTGTCTAAGGTCTCTTTTCTGTCTCATAATTTTGTGGTCCTAGAATTTTATGGACCCAAATATGTAAGATATGGGTCCACAAATGTGTGAGATAAAAAGAGGCCTCACACAATTAAGGTCAGTTATGTGAGGCACGCCATAAAATCACTCTCTCGTCGCTATTAGGTGCAAAAAGACAGTTCGAGTGAGGGGACATTGATCTAAGTCAATGATAATTGCACTTAATTAGCTGAATTGGGGTTAAATTATTATATTAAAAACTTGTGATAGATATTAAAATTTCTAAAATTTTCAAATACCTATTACTGCATATTGGTAAAATAAAACTATAAACGTGGCTGGCTAGATACATGATAGATGGCAAGTATTTCCCATTCGGGTCTCCGGTTATCTTTAGTCCCTAGTAGGGGCGGATCTACGTTGTGTCTTAAGGGTGCTCGAGCACCCGTTACTCTTGATTTGGATGTTATACATACCCCTAGGTTACTTAGAAAAATGATATAAGATGAAAAGTGAACCATCAATGGAAAAGTCAAATGGCGCAGTTGGTCTGGGAAGTAGTAGAATGCTCGACCCTAGCGTTGGGGATCGAGACCTCTCAAAAGTTATTGTTTTCCAGCCTTTTGTTTTCCTTTTCATTTTTCTTTACGAGCTTTTCATTTAACTTTTTTTTCCCTATTTCTTTTAACTCTTTTTCACACTTCCAGGGCACCTCTTCCCAAAACAGAATTTTTTTTCCTTTGTCTTTTTCGAATTTTTTTTACTTTTCCAAAACAGACAATCACCCTTGTCTCCTACAACACAATTAAACTCCTCCTTTCTCTTCTTTTAGAGTTTTTTTCGAGTGAGCATCCGCGATACTAAATTCCTGGATTTGTCACTGGTCCATAGAGCTGAAGACCTAAGATGTGGACATCATATCCGGAATGACACGACATGCTCCGAATAAGGAAAATTACGGAGTTGACATAGTAAAAAACTTCAAGAATTCGGATAAATATTCACCTGACAATACTAGACTCCGATATATGCGAGATTCGTTTATGATTGCACCCGCCAGTTATGCCTTATATAAATGTAACAGGTAAGATTCGCGTTAAATGCAGATAATGTCAGTAACGGCTAGGCGGAAAATCAGGGAAATGGTTACGTAATGTAAGAGTATAACTAACCCTCATCCCTCATCTGTATAGGACCTGATTGAATATTGTATCTTACTATACCAAAAATTATTATTCTCATTCAGCTATAACAAGCCACTGATCTACGTTAAGAATCATCAATAAGAAACTTTTTCCCTTTTGTTTAATTGCTTTTGTCTATATTGTTCATCTCATATTAATAAAGATCAACTCAGGTGAACTCAATAAATTGTCTAAGGCCTTTTATACAAATTTTATTGTTTAAACTTTACAATCCAAATTTAGGTTAAACAACAACTTTATTCAAAATTTTCATTTTCTTCTTCCTCCTCCCCCTCCTCCTCCTATTTTTCTTCTTCCTTCTCCTCTTCTCGTTCGGCTATTGTTGATGCTGATTCTTCGCCTTCTTCTCCTTCCCTATTTTATTTTCTTTTTCTTCCTCTTCCTTTCTTCTTTTTTCTCTTCTTTCTAGTAGTTTGACAATGAGAGAAAAAGTGAAAAAATGATTGGAATTTGAAGAAGTGAGAATTATACATAAATCCGGAGAGGTGTTTGAAACATCTTTAGGGATGCTTGCAACATCTTCATGGATATTTTTGTTCTTTATTTTCTCTAGTTATTTGAAATGTGAGCGAAAAGGTAAAAAATTGGTGATATTTGATGAAGTGAGAATTCTGCAAACAACCCTAGAGATGTTTCGGGACATTGAAACATCTTCAGGATGTTTACATTTGAAACATCTTTCGAGATGTTTGAAACATCTCAAAGAATGTCTCAAATATCTCCTAGATGATCCAAACATTTTGAAAATATTAGAAATATGTTACACCCTGCATTTTTCATACGTTAAGCTATGTCGTGAGTTAGTCATCGTAAGCTCGGAGAGCTAGGCTATTCCTAAGTTTATAAGTGATTATGACTATCTTTAGTAAGTTTCGAAAGGGTTAAAGGTTAAATTAATCAAACCGAGTAAATTTTCGCAAATTTCCATCTTATGGAGTGACTTACGGACTGTGCATTGGAGGTACAGGCTGGTGTTATAATCCGTACTTTTAGGTAATACTAGGAGTGCTTAACATGATAAGAAGGTCCTCATATGAAGTATTTGAATCGTTTAATAGTCGTATGTTTAAGTGTTAAAATCAAGCAAGTTATAAAACAAAAGTCGACAAAAGTTATCGCAAGTTATGTTCATAAGTTTACTGAAATTTGGTCTGGTGTCACTAAGATACTCCTCCAAAATACTTGGAGTTATGGCATTATATCAACCAAGTTGAAGGTCTACGAGTCTAGTTTCTAACGCATTAAATTGTTCGCCGATACGACTTCGGAATAGGGAAATATCTGTGTCTTAGCCGGATTGCACAAGTAGTCCCATTGGGACACACATTAGCGGTGGAGATTATTTTTGATGCTATAAGGCGGGGAAGCCCTTTCCCCCACCTCATTTTTCATCCAAAACAAAACCTTAAGCTCCTTAAATTCTCCCAAAGCATCTCCCTATCATTCGAGCAAATCCCACCAAAGTTTTGAGGTAATTCTTCATTCAGGAAGATCGTAGTGCTCATATAAGCTTATTCTTTTCTTGTTGTAGTTGATTTTTGGATTCCTTCAAGCTGAAGTAAGCTCAATTTAGGGGCTTTTCTTGTTGTGTAAGATAATAATTTCCTTCTTCTATATGTATTTGAGCATACCTAATGTCACGACCCAAACCGATGGGCCGCGACGGGCATCCGGTATCTTACTCAACCGAGTACCAACATAACACATCTTTTCATGTCATACTATCATAGATAACTGAGCCGGAAGGCTTCCGTGAGATAAGTAGAATACAACATGTGATACCAACTTATACATAAGATATACGAGCCTATAAGACCAAAATAACCACTCGTATATTGAACATAGGCCGATAGGGCCATACAATCTTTTACGTACATGACATCTGTCTATAAGTCTCTAAGAACCCATAATTTTCATAAAGTTCGGGACAGAGTCCCATCATACCAAACAATACACGTCTAAATCATACTAACCAAACAAGCAACTCCGAAGCAAATGGAGCGCACCAACATCTTTCGCAGAGCTGGTAGCCTACTCTGAGGGCTCTCGACCTGTCTATCGGGACCTGCGGGCATGAAACACAGCTTCTTCAAGCAAAAGAGACATCAGTACGAATAATGTACCGAGTATGTAAGGCACATAAATAAGTACATAACAGACATGGAAGAAATATAGAGTAAATGACTCAACCTGTAAGCCTAGATAACTCTGTAATTCATGAAATAATTATAGTGTCATGCATATGCGTATGAATGTCATGTCGTGCATAGGTACATGTTTCATAACATCATCAGGCCTCTGAGGGCATCCCATCATATCATCTCGGCCATCTTATTTTGTCATTCAAGGTCGGATATTCATAATAAGAAAACTACAGCTTCCTTCTTCTTTTATTGCTAACTTTTGGACTTGTT